TTCTCTCCTGTCCCTCCCATCACTGATTTCAATGTTCCTTGAAACACACACAAGCAAGCAGAGACGCAGGGCTGCTTGCACCGCATCGAACTGCGTCAGAGTGCGGTGTTGTGGCTGGGGGATCTCAAAGAGGCCTGGCTGACTTGTTTTTTTCGATACCTTCAATTTGTCTCCCGCCATTCTTTTGCGAGCCAGCCCCGTTGTGCATCCATCTCGGATATGGTTACGACAACCATGGTCCTGCCCCTCTTTTTCGCCCTTTCTTTTTGTTTTGGGGGCTTATCAACGTGCTTTCCCGCTTCTAAAAATTTGGGCCTCCTTGTTCCATCGTCGCACCATCTGTGGGCTGCCCAGGGACATTCATTTTAGATCGACCAACTTTGCTTTTCACCCCGCTCCGGGCGTTTCGAAGAGGCTCTAAAAGATGCTCCACTCTAGTAGAGAGGGGAAAAAGAAGAAGAAAAAAGATGCATCCCCACTCCGAAGACGTGAGGTTAGACCCATGCCCTGATTCGGCGCTGGAAGGGAAGTAGAAGAAGAAAGAACAAGCTAAAGATAGGGAGATAGTCCCTGTGCGCCCCCTTTCGCGATGCCCGCGGGAGAAGGCTAGCAAGGAGAAAGGGGGTTGAGAGCTGTCATTGCTCTAGAAAGCCGACTAGACTGCGAGCTTAACGCCACTGACTTTCTGTGCCGCACCGCCTAGGGGGCACCGTGTGACTGGAACCTAGAACATCCCTCTCTGTCCTTGTCTAATACCCTCATACCTCGACCGAGGCATGTAGGATATATTCGCTGGTTGTGTGAATGACCCCCTCAAGCCAGCCCGATGTCTTAACCCCGAAAGGCAGTCTGGCCGAGATCGAAGGAGACCCTCCCCTTGCGCAAGGTTTGGCTGGGATCCCTGAAGCGTAATCATGCCGTGAAGTGAGGGGCAAGACCTCGCCTGTGTCTCCGGATCTGCCATGGGGAGAGTCGCATCAGCAAGGTCCGGCCGGCTGCCCGAAATCTCAACGCATATCCCTTCTGCTTGAAGGGAAGGTGGATGGATGGACATGGTGGTGCTAATGCACCTCTACGCGGCAAAACTGTTTGGGAGAGGGCACCAGGTTGGCACGTGCGTTGAACATCGCTTGCCGATCGGAAAAGGGGAGGTCTCTTCCAAGCTATTTTGGTTCGAGTTGGTGGTGAGAGAGTTTCTTGATCATTCCAGCTGATGCCACACTGATGGGACCGGAACGTGAGGCATACTCTTTTCGATTCTGCACCCCGCCTGGTCCGGTCCCAATGGATCGATTCCTCTCTGTGGATCAAGCCTCCTGTGTAGAAGCGCCGGGGTTTCAAGCTTGAGTTCTCGGTAGCCACTCAGCGTCTTGAAAAGGGGGAGGGAGGAAGAAGGGAGAAAAAAGGACTCTCTCGAAGAAAACCCGCTCATTGAACACCCGTTTTCCCCTCCCCTCGTGCTCCCAGGGCTGACCCCTTGCCGCCGTCCATCGCAGCATGAGTTGAGAGGGGACAAAAAGAGATGATGGAGTTTGAGACAGATTGGCATCATGAGGGTTAGCCAGGGTAGTTTAATGGCACTCCCATTCCCGCTTGCATCTGCGTCCTTTCCGTGCGCAGTGGGTCGGAATGAGACGCCTTGGTGCCATCTACCATTCTCTGTCACATCCTCACAAGTAAAATTCTTCTCTGCCGGATCATCCCTGGCTAGGGCCAACGTTTTTGGTGTTCCGCGGAGGGGAGGGAGGGGGCGGTTGTGGAGGACAGGGCATTGCATCGTGGGATCGTGGGATCGTGAGATCTCGAATCTGCGGATGATTGCAAGTGGTTTGGGTGCCATTCTCGCTGGAGACGTGGGCGACAACTAATCTCAACGCTAAAATTGGGTCGACATGCTCTGGTCCGTCAACCGTGGAGGACAGCGAAATTAGAGCTGTTTCAGGATCAACTAGGGTGATCTGCGGTTGTGTGGGGAAGAGCGCTGGTTCAGCGAGGAACCACCTGCTCGGCTCTCATTGGCTCTTCATATTCCATGGCGTCAATTGCGCGCCCCATGTCCCTGGGAACGCTGCCGCTCAGATCATTGGACAGAACCAGGCTGAGAGTCCGGATTTTTGGTCTCTGCCCTTCTCGGATTGGCTGCAAAGCCATCTTTCGAGCAAGAAGAAGACAGCAAGGGGTGTGGGAGAAATGACAGGATGAGGAGGGGTGGCCACAACGGACCACCCATTGGTGCCTGGCATTCTGTTCCCTCCAATTCACAACAAGTACGAAGTGGAAGGAAGGAAAAGAGAAGACAAGTCCACGTCTGATCAGAAAAGATAAGTCAGGGGTAAGGTGCCCTGGGGAGCGCCAGCAAAACTAACAAGCCCCATCCGAGATTATGTATCATCACCCCTGCAGCCTCATGCACTTTATCTTTTTCCCGGGCAACTCTACCATGATTCTGTTAGTGCTCCCTCGTTGAGAGATCCTCATTGACTTGGTTTCGAAAAACATCTCCTACCTCTTAATTTTTCTTCTTTCTGTTCCCCTCTCGCAGTTTTGCAAGGTTGACAACAATTGTGGATGACGCTGCATGAGATGAGTGCACGTCGCGTAGTTTAATTCTCCACATCATGGGCCACCTTCTCGAAACCTCGATTGAACAAATTCATCCACATGGAGGGAGGCATCGTTCTGAACGTCCGTGTAATCTCAAAATGGCTTGGGGCCGATTGCTCCCATCACAGTCGCCTTTTCTCCTTTTCTCCTTTTCTAGACCACCCTCGTCTCGGACCCTCTCCATTCGGCACTGTTCTTCTACACTTACCGCCCGTGTTGGAGCTGACCTGTGGATCAGTGATCCTGTAGTGCTTGGCGAAGATGTCTGTTCTGTTCGGGGCCCAAACTAATGCTTCGTAGCTCAGGGGCCTTTTCTTATCGCCCGAGAGCTAAATCACTAGGGCGCACTTGAACGTCGTGTCCCCATTTAGCCAGGGTGGTGTTGAAGGGCTCGACTTGGTCGGTATCGAAGAGTGTCTGCTCGAGGGGGAGGGATGAACATTCTCATCATCTCGTCGTCTCCCATGCTCGAATCAAAGGATTTTGTCAGCGATGACAGGGAAGGACGGTCCTGGTTCATCTGGCACATTTGAGGGATTGATGGCATCCACCGCGTTATTTAATCGTCAGCCAGAAATTGCCAATTTCGCCAGGTTTGCGTGGGTTTGTATTCTTTCAGAGCGGGACCACCTGTTTGGTACATCGATGGAGGGGTTTGGCCCTTCGCACAATACCAGGGAGCGAGGTCTGGGACGGGAACATTCAGGGGCAAAAAGATCGCTGATGCAGGTACCAAGTCGAGGCAATTGGGTCGCTGGCTCCTTGGCTCGACACGCTTGTACGAAGTACCTTTTCCATCTTGCCTCGCGCTCGCCACCAACCAAGCCAAACCCACCACGGCTCTCATTGAGGGTACTGCTGGCTTGTCCCCACCGCTCGATGCATTGGCCCTCTGGATCGGGCTGTTCCAACAGCCCCAGGAGGTGATGCTGCGACGTCCCTTTTTCCTGGTCAGCACGGGAACGAGTCTGTCCTGGCCTGGGTGCAAGTTCAACCCGAGGTGAGGGTCCAAGCCCGTGGCCAAGATCCAATACTCTCGGAGACGCCTGCGCTATTGCCACCACCGTCATCTGCCAAGCAGCAAGAAAAGTTGATGCCAGCTCAGCGCGACTGTGTGTAAGACAATCAGCGCTGGGGTTTCCTGGGGCATCTGAGATGATGTAGTGAATTTGGGGTGCGACGAGAAACAACCACCGAGACTGTCAACAATCAAGGCCCGCGACGCTAAAAGAGGAGGAAACCGAAACATGTTCATCCAGACATTGCGCGAACTCTTTTTGAAGTTTTCTTTTGTTCTGTTCGTTGGAAGCGGGCCTGCGTGTTTTCCTTTTACCTGCTGTCAAATTTCCTTTTTGATGCGTTCTTTGTGCCGTCGCAAGGGACCGTTTTGAAGTGTTGATTTTGTTTGCTGGGGGCGGCTCGTCTCCGACCCTGGTGCTCGTACTGAAGGCTGGTTGAACAACCCTTTCATCAAAGCACCCTGGAATTCTTCTCAGTGATGGGGTGACTTCCGCAACTTCCCTTGATTCTTTCTTGCTCCTTCCTTCTTCCAGGTCCCCCATCTGAAATCCTGTTCCATCTTTTCCTGCAAAAAGTATCATGTACTCCCTCGACAACCGAAACTTGGCATGCGGAAACATGTACTACGTACTACAGAATAACCCCACCCCCGTCCCCTTCCCATCTGCGAATGCACACACCCCTGCCAACCCAAATGGACAGGACAGGGCAGGTGCATGTCGAACTTCTCTGTCTGATTCTCCGCTCTGGAAGTGCGCTCCTTGCCCCCTCCAGTCAACCGCCCCCGGCTCTCTCTCCTGCGTTCGACTTCAAATACTAAACGGGCCCGGGACCGCTTCGGCCGGCCTGATCTTGTTTCCTCTCTTTCTTTCTCCTCCAACCGACTGGTTTTCTCTTCCCGTGGTCCTAACCTATCACTTCTTTTTTCCTCTTTCGTGTCCCGTCAAGTCACTCCTTTCTTCGACAGGCACAGTCCACTCCTTTCTTTTAAACCTTCACTTCACCCTCCCCTCAAATCTCAACGCAGTAGCGATCCAGGAGCCCGGTGCCTCCACTATCAATCATCCATCGAAGATAACCGACCGAGGTACCTTGAAGGACCTACTCCATCGTGTGATATCAGCAGCGCTGCCAAACCCCCAGCTGGAACTGAAAGCAACTCCTTGCGACAACAATCATCTTGTCGAGTATCAAAGCTTTGCCCACTCCGGACAAAGACGTCGCTGAATCAAAGGCTTAAAACCCTCGTTTCTATAAAAGGTAAGCTGCGCTCGACATGCATGCGGTGGAAGCCATGTTGGGGGAATAGGACAGTTGGAAAGATCCATGTCAGAAACTTACACATAGCGCATTAGATTCACTTATCACCATTCACGATGAAGGCCACTCTCGCCCTTGCCTTGGCTAGCGCCATGCTCGCTGTCGCCAGCCCCGTTCACAAGCGTGTTCTTGTCACCGAGCTTGAGGTCAAGACTGTCACTGCTTACGTCTATCCCGACGGTTCTCCCGCCACCCACCTCCCCGCCCAGGCCACCGACAAGGCTTTCGTTGTCTTCGAGAACGTCCGCAAGCCCAAGGCCACCCCCGCCCCTGTCGCGGAGCCCGCCCCCGTCGTCGAGGAGCCCACTCCCGAGCCCCAGCCTGAGCCCCAACCCGAACCCGAGCCTCAGCCTCAACCTGAGCCTGAGCCCGAGCCCGCCCCCGTCGTCGAGCAGCCCCAAGCTGCCCCCGTGGTTACCCAGCCCGAGGTTGTCGAGGCCGCCCCCGCCGGTTCTGCCCGTGAGGCTTCTCTGAACGCCCACAACGTTCACCGATCCAACCACTCTGCCCCCGCCGTCACCTGGGACGGCAACCTTGCCTCGTATGCCCAGCAGCTCGCCAACACTTGCAACTACGGCCATGACACGTAAGTACTAACGCTTTTCATCCTCCCAATCACCATGCCGAGGCTGTGGAATTGGCCGGGCAGTTCAAATTTCGTGAGGCTAACGCAATATTTCCTTGGAATAGTAAGATTGGCGGTGGTGGCTACGGCCAGAACATTGCCATGGCCGCTTCCACCGGTACCCTCCCTGGTGATGCCGAGGCTCTTCAGCGCTCCATCACCGGTCTCTGGTACAACGATGAGTTCAACTGGTACCCCGGCTTCGGCACCAACCCCGACATGTCGAACTTCAGCAAGTGGGGCCATCTTTCCCAGATTGTCTGGGCTAGCACCACCACCATTGGCTGCGCTATCTCTTACTGCGATGCCGGTACTCTCTCCAGCATGAAGGGATACTTCGTCGTCTGCAACTACGGCCCTGCTGGTAAGTTTCTAACTGATAAGATGCTGAAATCCCGGGAAGCAAGTCAAAAGGTATCAATGCTAACGTGGTATTTCTCTTTCAGGCAACGTTCCTAACGCCTATGCCACCAACGTCAAGGCTCCTCTTGGCAACGCCATCGTCGCTGCGTAAAGTGGAGAGTTGAAGGAGGTCTCTTTCCTACAACCACGATTATAAAAACTGAAAGAGCCAAAGCTCGGCATTGGAGAGGTCCACGGGGTCTTCCAATGCCTGTATTGCGGGGCGGTGGCACACGCACCGGCTCGTGATCTGTAAAGCCGTCTTTGTTACGATGTTCACTTCTCTGATGTAGTTTACGTACTCTACCGTACTTAACGACGTTGCCCTTCAACATTTGCCACCGGCCTCGTCGGTTTACTTGTCTTCTTTTTCGGTGGTGACAGGACAAGTCTGGCCCGAAGGATATCGGTATTGGTTGGCGCACACACACCAAGGAGTCGACCAATCCGCTGTCCTCGGTCGCAAGACATGTCCTTGTCTGATTCACTTCTTTGTCCCCTCGCGGACTCCTCTTGACAAAACCATTACTTCTTTTCACTTCTTACGCTTGCAGATTTGATGTCCAGCATGTCTTTTGTTCCTTTTTCTTTTTCTTTTCCTTTTTTCATGTTCCATCTGGCTTATGGGTTATCTGGGTTAAACGGGGTTTGAGATTCCAAACAATAAAAGGAGAACTGTCCATATATCTTTATTCTTTTTGGTCCCATGTAGGAGTTGCTTTAAGCGTTGTGAACTAATTTTGAAACCCGGTAACTACGGGTCAAACGGCGTTTGGTTCGAGAATCTGAGTCCGGGCACCGGTCAGGCTAGAATTTAAGTTTCACTTGCCGCCCCAAAGCCCTGTCAGGATGGTAGCAAGGCGCGCGGCCATGGAGACCGAAGGTCGTGGTTAATGTGTGGTCCTCGGCCGGGACGCACGGCTAGTTTCTCTCAATATCAGAATGCTCCGGCGGAGAAGCCTTGCCGCGCCACCGAGGGGGAGGAATGCCGACCAAGTCGATTCGTGCTCCTCCTTGAAGCGCAAGATAGGAGGCCTGGGGAGGGCAGAGGCAGTGTTCTAGGCCTCTTGGATGCAACAAGTTGACTTGGATTACATTGTATTTTGTTTTACTTCTCCGTCACCTTTTGTCCCTACTTCCATCTGCGCGGTTTTAGAATCGTGAGTCGTGATGGGCTTGGCGGGGGCGGAGTTGAGTCATGCCAAGATTGAGTACGCCGCCCCGACTCTCGGCTGGGAGAACGGCCATGAAGATGATCTGAGTCGCGTCGCGAGACGCGCTGGGCTGCGAAGACGGAGGACTCTTTTTCAGCGAGGACTATGGATGAGGTGGTGCAGTCTGTTACTGGCGTCGGTAGGGAAAGCGGCCGGGAAGCGGTTCGCTGAGATGAGGGCCATTCTAGTTTGCCTTTGCCTTATTCAAGCCATTTAGATGCTCGGGATTGGGGAAAGGTCGGGCGGAGATGAGTCGAGAAGATGGTGGAGCATCTTTCCTCGTCCGTGTCCCCGATCTGGCGTCATCAGCGGGTTCGAGAGAGAGAGAGAAAAGAGAGAGAGAGAGGGACGTTCGGGACCGGTGCGGAAAGGCGCCGCTCTATCGGGGCGGGTTTTCTTTTATCCCCCTTACATCTTTTGCCTATGTATGCGTTCCATCTTCGGCTCCACTCCTTTCGTCTTCATCCAACTTGAGCAGTGGAAGGCGCGGGGCCGGCAAGTTGAACAAGATACTTGTCGAGAAAGAGCGTCCGAGCCCGCGTGTACAATACCGTGGGATGATTGTTGTGGACATTCACGAGAAAAGAACAAAAACCTATTGAGCTGGACTTTTGGTCCAAATTAATTACTAGGTGCAATGGATACATCCGGCCGAATCGAGCCTCCATCAGGTCGGAGCAGTCAGTTTGGCCGTTTCGATCCGCGGCGAGCCCGGGTTCCATTGGCTCGCGGGATGTTGGTGGCTTAACGCCTCCTCGGGGTCCTATAGGCTCCTCGACTGGAATCGGGGCTAGGTCTCTCCAGCCCAAGCCCAAACGGCGGTCCGGAGACCAGTGAAGATGTTTAGACGGGGGGGATGGATTCCAAGGTTTTTCTCTTTCCTACAAGCGATATGTTCCTTGTTTTCGATGAGTACATGCCGGCTGTAAGCTGCACCCGTCTTTCCTTCTTTCTTGTAATGTTCCCTTTGTGCGTTTACTTCCTCCCCGATATTCGGAGGGAGATGTCGGTGATGCGATGTTGTGCATCGTGTATCTCATATTCTCGTAACTTGATGTGTTTTACTCACTTTCCTCCTTCCTTCCATTTGTTGGCATAGTCACGGATACTGCGGCCATTCCGGACAAGGCAGAATTCCACATTCCCGAAATAACTCGACTCTTTTTTCAATTTTTATTAGATTGGTAAAGGGCTTGTCAGAGGTTATTTGATATATCGTTACTTGGAATCGCCGTTTTGGGGGTGCTTGCGGAAACATTGAAAGCAACAACGGCCGGTGGTGCAGATTCGGGCCTGCGGGCTGATAGTCCATCCGAAGGGGAGTGGGGATTGTCGTCGTGTGGCGGGGGCCAGCGAGGGTAGAGAGGGGGCTGACAATAGCACCTCCGTCCTTTCTCTCTTCCCATCCGAGGCGCATGCCCTTCCTGGCGCGCGGGGAGGAATGAGTTTGGATTTCTGGATTGCTCGACCTTTGACATAGGTCGTACGTCGATGGACCCCTGCACCCTTTTGTGTGTCTTTGTCTTCTTTGATTGCCTTCCTGTTCTCCTGTTTTCCACCTTCTTCTCGTCTTTTTATTTTTATTTCTATTTTCTTTTCAGGCTGGCATCTAGACTAGCGAGACCAAAGTCACGTACTATATTGTATGGGTTCAAAAATTAAACAATAAAAATAAAAAGAAGGGAAACAGCCAGGGGACGCATACAAATCTACGTGTCTACGTGGAGCATTCATAGGCCTGGTCGGCTGACACCTTGGCTCATATGGCAAGATTTGGCCCCGAATGGACAAGCGAGGGATACGCGGTCCGGGGGCGCATTTCCTGGAGCTAGCGAGGGGAGGGGCAGAGGCGCCAAACGACGAGGACGACAAGGGTTTCTCCATGGGCCATCAATGGATCATTGTTCCTATAATCCTCTTCCCTCTTCCTTCATCCTCAGCATGCAGAGACTCGTGGTTTTGTCAGCTCGCCATCATCTCGCGCTAGAGGAAGCGTCGGATCGGAGAAATAGGGTGGACAAAGATGGAGAATCTCGCCGGAACAGCAGGGACAACTGAAGCCCGCCTCGCTGCGGGCGGGTACTCGACTTGGGTTGTAGCTGAGGTCAGCTCGATCCCTGTTTGGCCCTCTCTCGTCTCCCCTCTTTAGTGTCGTCCGTAGTCACCCTCCCTCCCCTTCCCCCTAGTCGCGCTAAATACTTTGACTTGCCATGAGCGAGCAGGTTTGGGGTCCGAGAGAAAGGGAAGGGGGAGTGGGGGCCCTTTCCTCGTGGCGTCTGGAAGACGGGAACTCGGAGAGACACACTTATATCGTCCGTTGTCTCCCGGCATTTTTGCTGGTGGCGTTATCTCCAACTCCGGCCTGCACTTCGGCTTCCACTTCCCTTTCTTCCCCCATTCTAGAGATTACCTTTGACCTTTTTTTTTTTTCTCTTATTCCTTTTTTCCTACTTTTTCTTCTATTTTGCGCTCTTCATTCCTCCGCATCCTTGGCGTAATACAAGAGAGGTGGGCGAAGATTACGGCCAAGCCAAAATTCCGGGGATAAGGATTCGCAACGTCGTAGGAAACTATTCATCATCGTCGTTGTCCTTCCCATCAGCTTGTCTGACTTCATATACACGATATCCACAAATTTTAGTGGCGCAAGGAGTGACTCAACTTGCCTTCCCACTATAGTACCATCAAAGTGTAGTAGTGCTTCACACACACGCTCACGCATACTTTTTTCTCTCCCTTTCCCTTTCCCTTTCCTTGCCATCCCCTTCCCACCTTTTGTCCACCAAAGATCCCGTCATAAGAGTGTCCATATCAGCCCCTCGAACAGCTTTGGTGATTCAAAATGACGGCGCCGTTACAATATTCGCAGGGGGCGGTAAAATTACCCCACGACATCCAAGCCCGGGCTAGCAAGGACTGGGACACCAACTGGCTCGTGACCGTCGAGCACGATTTCATCAGGCTGCCCGAGGTAGCACACGCTCGCCACCACGAGGGCTGGAGGACGAGAAGAGAGGCAGACGAAGACCAGCACGCGGACAAGTGCGAGGAGGACCAGTATGATGATGACGACGACGACGACGACGACGACGACGATGACGACCACGTCGAGTACGACGAGGATATTGGCGGAAGCCCTGCGCTGGTGGAGATGGTGGACAGCCCCTCGACGTGGGCGCCCAGGTCGCCATTGACCCACGAGATGGAGGCGGAGAGAATCGCGCGGTCCCGCCTGGGCGTACCGCATCCCGATATCTCGTTGCCCATGCCTAGCCTGGAGATGGACTTTCGCCTAGCCGTGCGGTTACGGAAACAGAGTTGCACGGTCCGCCTGGATGACGGAGGGGCCAAGGAGCTGACCGTCGCCGAGGGCGGGACGTGGGCTGGGTCGTTTGGCAAGGGGACTGTCAAGGTAAGCTTGGGTGCTCGAGTGTTGTTTGGGCGTACGGTCGGGTTGAATCGGGGCTGGCGGTCCCGCATGGGAGAAGGAGGACCCTTGCGTAGCTGGCCATGTGCGTGTTTATGCGTGTTTGCGCTAACCCGGCACGCTTAGGCGGGAGGCCACGATCTACAGCCCTCGAGGCTGGGCGAGAGGACGAGGTCGAGAATCGATACCGCATTTGAGCTCATCACCGATGATGAATCACCAGCAAAGTATGTCCTAAACTCGTCTCAGCTCCGCTCCCCTTCCACCTTCCACCCCCTCTCCATCTATCACCTGCCTCCTATCACCTACCTCCTCCGCCCACCCCTCAAGAGCGAAGGTTATAAGCAGGTGTAATATATGCAACTCTAACGTGAAATTCACCATACCCAGGCTCGAGCTGCGAACGAGGGGCTACATGACCTATCTCCCCGGCTCGCTCGACAACATCCTCCGTGGTGACGTGGACGACACTAAAGGCTACGCGTTTCGCATGGTCATGTCGCTGAGGACGGAGGATCTACGATATGCCGAGACGGTCAACTTGGGCCTATGGATAGGATCGGGCGTGTGGAAAGGGGACGAGCTCATTATCGAGTTGAGTTTTTCTTTTCTCTTTGACCTTTTCCCCGTTTCCTTGTTTTCTCTTTTTTTCGGGTCGCACAACTAACCATGGCTAAATAAAATGCAGCGCTTACCGGGTTTCTTGAGTGATGGTTTCTTGATATCAATCTTGCTTTCGGATGGCAGCCGGAGTTGCGGAGTCCCTTTTTTTTTTTTTTTTCTTCTCCCTCGTTTTCCTATCGTCTCTTTGCTTCGTCACCAGTGTCATCCGTGTTCACTTATACCATCATATGCAGCGAATCCTTTAGGAGGAGAACAAGGCCCCAATTGGGTCAGTCGAAATGGTCAAAGATTAATGCAGTGCTAGTCAAGGAGAATGAATATGTGGTATGTACAGGCAGATATATATCAATCATGATAACGTTTGTGAACCACCCCTCTGGCCCTATCTATTTGGCGGGCTCAACTTTCCCCTAGTCTTTTTCTCGGGTTTCTTTTCTTCCTTTTCCCTTAATAGTAGTGAATTTGAAGAGCCTCCTCTCAGGAGGAGGCTGCCGCTAGAACGGCTTTGTGGTACACGTATGCAAATTGGCCCCTCCCCTTTCGCAGCCCATGCCACCACCAAGAGGAGGGATTTTGCCTGAATTGCCTCTTGGTCAGAGAAATTGACCCTCACCTATCCAACGCTTGAGCGATGCACTACAGAGAGGGAAAGAAATTAGTCTCGTGTCGTCTTCTTGGTATCGAAACGTGACCGCATAAACGGGAGATAGAGGGGGGCAATAGGATAAACCTACCAAACGGTAATACGCTCCTCTCTTCTTGAGCAGCTCCGCATGCGTGCCTTTCTCCAGGACCACGCCGTCACCGAGCACAAAGATGACGTCGGCATTCTGCACAGTGGCAAGACGGTGCGCCACGACCACCATGGTCCTGGACCCGCGCATCCGCTCAAACACCTTTTGGATCTGCCTCTCCACCTCGTTGTCCAGGCTGGCCGTGGCCTCGTCGAGGAGGAGCAACTTGGGCTTACGCACCAGCGCGCGCGATGGCGATTCGCTGCCTCTGCCCGCCGGATAGGAGGACGCCCTTGTTCCCGACGCGCGTCTGGTACCCCTCGGGCAGGGAGATGATGAAGTCGTGCATCTCGACCGAGGCGCACACGCGGTGTAGCGTCTCCTCGGACACGGCGGACGGGTCGGGCACGCCGGCGAGGATGTTCTCACGGATCGTGCCGCTGAAGAGGGCGGACTCTTGGGCGACGAGGGAGATGCGGCGGCGGTAGGTGGAGGCGGGGAGGGTGGAGATGTCGGTGTCGTCGAGGAAGATGGCTCCCGCGTTGACGGAGTAGAATCTAGGGGTGGATATCTTGCGTTAGACTTTTCTTTTTTCTTCGGCCGTCTTCTTTTGGAGGTTTCTCTCTTTGTTTTTGTAGAATTGTGATTCTGTTGGGAAAAGAAAGGGGAGGATGGGGTACGTACTTTTCAAGGAGGGAGATGATACTCGTTTTCCCGTTCCTGGAGCTATAGTTAGCAAGATAGGCCACGTTGGAGACGGTGTTGAATCTCGTTGAGAATTCGTATAGTTTATCATACCGGAGGCTCCTACAATGGCCGCAAACTGGCCCTCTTGGATCTGTTTTGGTTCCCACGTTAGCAAGATGTTGGAGTGGCACGATAAGCACTTGTAGGGCAACCTCGAGGGACCAACGTACTGTGAGGTTCAAGCCATTCAAAACCGGCGCATCTCTCGTGGGGTATCGGAACCACACGTTGGAGAACTCGACGCGAACTCCTTTGCGCGCTCGGCCACCGCGCTCATGTGCCTTGCCGCCGTCCTCGTGGGCCTTGCCGTTTTCATTAGCGTCATCATCGTCATCATCAGAGTCGTCATCGGAGTTGCGATGAAGACCAGCGCCTTGAATGGTCTTGCCGTCCCGCACCGCCTGGCCGGGATATCTAGAGGCTAGGATCCTGTTCGCGGCGGCGGTGGCCTGGGCAATATTCGGGGCGAAGCTCAGCCACTGGCCGGCCGCCATGCCGCCCTGAACCACGGATATGTATACGACGAGGTACTGGAAGGTGGTGTATTCGCCATCATGAATAAGCTTTCCGCCGTACCTGGAAGCGGAAACGGAAAACCGCGAGTGTTAGACGTTGCAAAAGAGAAGAGAAGAGAAGAGAGAGATGAAAAAGGGGAAAAGGGGAAAAAAAGAGAAACACACCAGAGCATAAAGGCCATGCATAGCAGGGGCATTCCGTCGCTGGCGGCAAAAATCATGGTCGAAAACTTGGCTTTGCTCCATGCCTCGTCGAGATGCTTGTTGAGGAGAGTTTCGTACTTGTCCAGGATGCCCTCCTCCATGGTCAGCGCGGTGACGGTCCGGGCGGCACCTACGGCCTCTGCCGAGAAACGAGCGCTCTCGCCGAACACGGTGCGGTTCGTGCGCTCAAACTTGCTCTCGTAGCGGATGCGGTAGAATCCGGCAGCGAGCACGAGGGGCAAGGAGCCGCCGAGCGCGGCCAGGGCGAGCTTCCAGCCAAAGTAAAAGGAGATGATGATGCACCCGGTCACGGCGAGGACGGAGATGAGCGCGAAGCCCATGTTGGTACCCAGCAGCTGCTGGAGCTGGGCAGGGTCGGTGGCGACGAGCGCGGAGAGGGCGCCGGGGGTGTGGTTGTCGTCGTCGAAGAAGGAGATGGGCTTGGAGATGATGTTTTTGAAGTATTCCTTGCGGTAGGTGGCCGTGATTTTCTGCCACGGGGAGCCCGTAATTTGTTAGTCGAGGGCCTTGGATGTTCCCCCTTTGGGAAATATGGCAAGGATGTGTGGAGAAGAGAGTACTCACAAAGGAGAGAATGGTGGCGGATCCTCCGAGGATGAAGTAGCCAATGCCGACGCCTCCGGCGAGCGCGGTGAACATGATGCACCAAAAGTTTACATGGGCTCTGAGTGCCTCGCCCCAGAGATAGAACCCCGACAGGGCGTTGGCAAATAGGTAGGCCTGAACGGGTGTGCTCGCTGGGGAGGGTAAGAAGAACAGGGGGACATGGTTAGCTGGGAAAATCAACGCGATCGAATAGAAGGAGGACGAAAAATGCTCACCTCCTGCAACGAGAGCGCCAAAGAGCAAAGGCCATACCAAGGCCACTTGTTACCCTGCTCCACGATCAAGGTACCAAAGCTTCTGAAGAAACCGCGGTTCACATACTCCTCGGCGCCATCCTTGGCATCTCCGCTGCTCGTGGTAGCATCGGACTCCATGAGCTCCAAGTCCTTGTGCTTATCCCCCAGGATCAGCATCTCCGCAAGGCTAACCCTCTCCAAGCTCCTCACCCACTTGTACTTGTCCTCGTCCTCCTCTTCCTCGTCACCGCCAGCCCCGGTCCCGGCCCCGGATCCTGCGCCGCCGCCGCCGCCGCCAAACCTCACCTTTGCGCGGTCGCGAGCTTCCAGTAGGCGCCGCCCGGCTGGGCCATGAGCTGATCGTGCGTCCCCTGTTGAACCACGCGGCCCTGGGCCAAGACGACGATATTATCAGCGTCCCGCACGGTGGAGAGATTGTGGGCGATGGTGATGGTGGTGCGGCCGCGGGATGCGCGGTCGAGCGCGGCTTGGACGATTTGCTCTCCCCGCGCGTCGATGGCGCTGGTGGCTTCGTCGAGGATGAGGATCTTGGGCCGTCGGATGAGCGCGCGGGCGATGGCTAGGCGCTGGCGCTGGCCGCCACTGAGTTTGGCGCCCGATTCGCCGACGTTGGTTTGTAGACCCTAGGGAGGGAGAGTTAGCTTGGAGAACTGAAAAGGAAAAAGAAGAACAAGAATAAGAAAGCTCCCGTCTCCGGCGTATACATGACATGAATGAGAGTAGGAAGGAAGACGAACGTTGGGCAGCCGAGAGATGAATTCGTCGGCAAACGCTTCACGACAGGCATTTTTGACGAGTGACAGCTTCTTCTCTTCGGAGGCATTCTCCCAAGGAGTTCCGATGAGGCCGTATTCGATATTCTTCTGGATGGTGTCGTTGAACAGGAAGGGTTCCTGTTGGACGAGGCCGATCTGGGATCTCCACCACCGGAGATCCATGTCCTTGAGATCAACGCCGCCGCACGTAATCTTGCCATTCCTAAACCAGTAGGTCTAGAACGCGTAATCGGGATTTTTGGTTAGCATATCGATGGGTAAACAGGAAGAAAAGAGATGCACTAGATGTCTTTACCCACCTTCCTATTGGTTCTCCAGTCCCCATCCAGCTCATACCACCTCTCGATCAGCCCGACGATAGTGCTCTTCCCGGACCCTGACGGACCGACAATGGCTGTAGTCTTCCCTGCCGGGATCTTCAAGTTGACGGTGATGAGCACCTTGCGGTCGTGGCGGGCGGGGTAGGTGAAGTTGACGTTGGTGAAGACGATATCCTTGTCCGCTGAAACTTCCGGGCTCTTCTTGCCCTTGATTTCCGGCTTGGGAATGTCGATGCCGTTGAAGAGTGCAGCGGCTGCGATGGAAGAGCGGATGGCGGCGGAGACGGGGGCTGCTACACCGCTGATGGAGGCAATGATCATCATCGTGCACATAAGGACGCTATGAATCGGCGGCAGGGTTAGGACGTGAATTATAGTGACTCCTTTTAGGGTACCACGGCCCCCGGTGACCGTCATCTTTTGATACTGCATCCCCGGTTAAGGGGCGATATGGCGGAATCATGTGTGGTGTTTGGAGAACTTACGTGACGAGGGTCCCGACGCTAGGGATCTCAAAATTGAGATACATCTTGATGGCGAAGTAAAAGGTGAGAGCGTATGTCCTGGTAACGAGAAGATCAGTTTCTGATTGTTCTCTGTAGGTTTCTCTCTAATCCCAATGGGTAAAACATCTGGCTTCAGGGACGTTTTGTAGCTGGTACTCACGCATATATGGTAAAGTAGACTACGGAAACCACGGATTAGCAACAAACTCTCAGTACCACCACGTGGCCTGGGGTGACAAAGAGGGAAACTTGAGAATAAAGATGAAAAAGGGAACCAAAAACTCACTGATTCCTTGCTGGGTAGCCGCAATCTTGGCCATGCCCATCCCCTCTTCCGCGACTCCTTCACCCACCCGGCATACCTCTGAGCCATCTTCTCCTCGGCTCCGCAAGCCGCCACCATCCGAACGGAACCGAGAGCCTCGCCCGCCACCGCGGCAGCGGCCATATCCGACTCCTCGATGGCGCGCAGGCGGCGGATCATGAGGGGCACCGCGCAGGCGTACGTGAGGCCGACGACGACGAGGCCGCTGGCGGACACGAGGGTGAGCTTCCAGCTGTGGACAAAGGCGATGGTGAGCCCCGAGGTGACGAGGGAGAGGGAGGTGATGAGGGACCCGAGCTTCTCGCCGATGCCGAGCTGGACGGTGTTGGCCGTGTTGGTGAGGATGGCGGTCATGCGGCCGGGGGCATGGCGTCGAGGAGGGAGATGGGCTGGGGGATCACGGCGGAGAGGTAGCGGAGGCGGAGGTTGGCGGAGATGCGGAGCGAGTTCATGCGGAAGCCAAGCTAGGTACGAGGCTTCGGGTTAGTCAAACGGAGATAACTGGAAGCAACGGGTGGGATGGGGATGCCTTACCATGGAGCAGTAAGAAAGGATAAATTTGCCAATGAAGAGATAAACCATGAATAGGCTGCTCGATTGTTAGATACTCGATTATAGTACATACGCTTTCTTTTTAAAATAACAAGACACAAGGAATAGGTGAGACTTACACACACTCCCGAACCTCTTTGTTGAACTCGTCGCTCCTCCGACCGGAAAGATTATTCGGGTCGAATGATGTAGCCGCCGTAACAAGACGCCCTTTAGCTGCGTTAGCAAAGAAGAAGAACGGAAGGGGAAGAAAAGGCTAGTTCATTGGGAAGGATGGACTTCGACCTAATACCGGTCCGTGGCTTTCTGAATCAGGGGTGGGCAGGCTTTTGGAAGGGATACATACCAAAGACGATGCTGGTGAGTGGCATGATGGAGCCTGCGGCCATGGCAGCCATGATGGTAAGCACGAGTAGTATCCTTTCGCGCACTGACGTGAATGTGAAGATCCTCTACACAAAGGAGTTAGTATGGGGAAGGAAGAGCTAGGGTTTCAAAACACAGCCTTTCGGCTACGCATATACGCACCCCAAAGGTGAAGAATCTCTTTTGTACTCGTCAAACTTGGTTGGCGGTTTCTTGGGCTTTTCCTTTTTGGCCTCAGCCTTCTCCTTCATCGGCTTCGCCTTGGCTGCCGCCGCTACGGTAGGTTTTGCAGCAGCCGTAGCGGCGGCGGCGGCAACAGCAGCAGCCGGGGCCGTCGTCGAAGCAGCTAGGCCGGCGCCTAGGCCCGGGGTAGTAGCGGGACCAAAGCCGGCCGCCGCTGCTACAGGGCTCGCCGGGCCCCTAAATACAGCGCCCCATTTCTTCAAAGAAACAGGCGTCCTGGGGCTCTCGGGCACGTCGGTCAGGGCAGAGGGCCTCGGGGGCGCCGGGTTCGCGGCACCAGCAATGGGTGCGGCAGCGGCGACGAGGCCATGGGTGGACGCGAGGGAGGCATAGGAGGGCTTCTGGGAGACGACGCCACTCGCGGGGCCGGAGGCGGACGACTCGTCGTGCTGCGTCTGGATGGAGGCAAAAGAGGGCTTGGCGGTGAGGTGGGTAGGGTCTAGGGAGAGGCCGGGGCCCATGACCGGAGGTGGGAGTCTCGGTGCGGGAGGAGCAGGAGGGGGCCGGGGTGCGGGAGGAGTCGGGGGCACGGCGCGGATGGTGGGGGTAGGTGCGTGGCGCCGACGGGGGAGGGGCGGGGGCTCTGATCGCGGGGGAGGCGGAGGAGGGTAGGAGGGCGGAGGGTTTGGAGGGGGATGGCGTCGACGGTCCATAGTGGATGGTGCCGGCTCAAGGCCAACGTGGGAAAATGGGAGAGGGTTGCGAAAGGAGAGGGATACTGAGGCTCTAGGGGAAACTTGGGAGCCTTGATCAGGATGGCGTATCACCGGGGATGGTGGGCAAGGATGGGCCGGAAGAGAGAGGAGAAGAAGTCTTGAGCCTCTTGGGGGGCAGGGAGGACGATAAGGTGCTGGGACTGGCCAGCTAGCTAGTGTCTTCTCGCCTCCATGACACTTCTTTTTAGCTGAATGAAAGAAAAGAAAGTGGCTTCCTGCACCGGTACTCGTAGCGTCAGTCCCTGAGATCAAGTCAGGAACCGGTGATCTCTCATCAACCGTGCTCACACGCCACTCACCAAGTAGCGAGAGATGGAGCTGCAGTTGAGACGAAGGCTCAACGGGGGCCGCGAGGAAAAGGAGTGCAGAGATATGAGGGACAGAAGAGAGCAAGACCCAGACAGACAACCTCGAGCCCAAAAGCTTTCTATGAAAGTCTCAGCCTCGTTTCGGGGGTGCACAATGAGGGTGCGGTGCGATGAGACGGGAAGCTCTTGGAGCAGCACCCTTTTTTTCTGGCGGAGTGGCTAGAAAATCACTGCGCAGACTAAGAAAAGGCGAAGAACTCGCAAGAAAAGAACATTAGAAAAGCCTACTTTAGACACGCGAATGTGTATGGGAGGGTAGTGACTTGCAGGGACAGGATATACATACACACGTCGTTCTGCTTCGGGGTGGTGGGGGATCCGTGGAGGGTTGATGAGGTGTCGGGTGTAAATGGAACTGGAAGTGATGGCTTTTACCCCCTCTCGCTCTGTTACTTTTGTTTCTTCTTGACGCGACTCTGGCATACGCAGCTTCTGCATACTACACAATTGATTTCCGCTCCCTTTCTTTCAGCGTCTCTCCCTCACTCTACCGCTTGTTTCTGTTGAGTGAGTACGCTATTCTATCTCTCTAGCTGGCGTGGAAAAGAAGAACTAAACAGGTCGTGATTGGTTATTGTAGAGCCTCTTATGGAAGAAAGCCTCTAGAATACTAGGTGCTTCTGGGGCTCTACTCGGCTGAGCTAGGCCGAGATACCAGAAGGAGAAGTAGAAGCGGCCTTGGAGGAAGGAGAGGAGGGGCCGGAGAAAGGGTAGTATAGAGAGCGAGGAGGAATAGGCAAAGGGGGCGTGTGTTCTAATCTACGACTGGAAATTCCGTGGTACGAGGAAGTGGAACAGAAAGAGAGCTCAGAGCTCAAAGCTCAGGGTGGCGGTTAGATCAATTTGATTCAAGACATCCATAGATGGGCTTTTGGAGAGAACTCGGCGAGGTCTACGGTAGGTTGGAAGGTATATTATCTGGCACGTGGAAAGGGTGGGCAGAGGTGTGAGTCTACGCGGAAGGGAGGAAGAGGAAGGGCTAATAAACAAGGCAATTCACCGGAGAGAGAGGCGTACATCTATGGATGTATAGATAAATGGAATTTTGATCAACCCGTTGATGGGTTATTAATTTGGCCAGCCGAGTCCACAGGGAAAAAACCCCGGACTCGCGGCAATCAACCTGCGGGCGAGTTTTGCCCCCTCCTTTGCCATGAATTGATCATTGATCATCCACGTCTACATGTACATCCACATCCTCCGCTTCTTCTCTATGGATGAATAGAGTGACCATTTTCATGCCCAACTCGTCTTTTCCTTGACCTTGGTTCTTTTCTTTTTTTTTTCTTTTTCTTTTTATCTTTTCTTGCTTAATTTTCTCCCTCTAACCCTATTCTCTTCGCCGGCTTCTTCTTCCCCATTGTATCGATAGTTTCTGGCCGTCCCCCAAAGGGCAATTCGAAGCGCGGACGGATTACTCTGGATGACAATCAAGTGAACTAGAGTGAAATCTAGACATATTGATACCTTATGGTTGGAAAATTGTAGAGAGATACCGCTATCAACCCTGATGACCTCAGCGTCCTGTATTCTACGGACGCATTTACAACTAGATGTGAAAAGAGGAGAAGAGTGGAGTCGAATCCTCTATTTCTCATCCGATACAGACGATAAAATAACAAGACAACGGAAGGCGGAGGCGGAGAGAAGAGAGAGGGCGCTCAAGCGAAGGGACAGGACCATATGTGCCTGAGATCTGCTATAGCTCACACTCTCACCCCGGAACTACCAACGCAGGACAAATCTGATGCGTAATAGGTGAGATATGTTATAGATGGACGTGGTGAAATAACGAAATAGTGCCTGGCGCATCCGGGGGCGGACCGTCAACGGGCACAAGGCAAGAGGAGGCCGGTCTGAACCCTCGCATGAGGGAGAAGAGGGGGACAAAACTCGCTTACACAAAGAAAGGGAGAGAAAAAAGCCCCTGTGGAAATTCACGATGAATCATTCACCGCGCCTTGAGCCTTCTTCTTCTCCTTTTGGACGCGAGGGATGAGGACGGGGAAGGGCAGCCGGTCTCGCGCCATTATTCGCTCTCAGCACATCTTGACAAGTGCTCTTCGCTATTTTGCTCCCGAGAGATAAGTTGATTAAGCTCATCAATCTCGTCACATCCCACTTCCACTCCCACCCTTTGCTCTCCTTGTGCGTGTGTGTGTGTTCGCGTGGATGGCGTATGCGTATGTCACGACTTGCCGCGACTACTACCGCTTGCGGTGTATCCAGCCACCACTTTAACAGCCCGCGATGAAGTCGACCCACCGTGGTTTACTTCGGGTGAACATATGAGATAGTGGATGATGACGACGACGTGATTTGTTCCGCTGCCCGCTGCCCGCTGCTTTTATCTACCTACAATCGTGGAACTCACTTTGTTTGGGCACGATCCACTTGCAGGTCTATTTGTATATGTAGGTATTAGACAAGGAAAGGAGAGAGAAATTAGAAAAAACCAGAGGCCACGCTGATGTCCTTGATGCACACCTGGCTGCTTAAAGTCAAGTTGCGATGTCACGATCAAGTGTCCATGTGCGTCTCTACTGCCTACATGTAAATCTCCGAAGGCAACCTTGGGACGCGGCAGCCAGCAACGGGATGAAACCTTGACGGACAATTCATTTTCGAGCTTCAGTTTTAGTTTAGTCTTCTTCATCCCTTCAAGGTTGCTTTTCTAGTCGTTAGTTCTGCTTGGTTCGGATATGCCGTGCGAGGCCGCACGTTTCCCATTGTTCTTGCCATCAATTTCTTTTCTTTTTTCTTTTTCTTTTTCTTTTTATCAATTCTTTCTTCTCAAACTCATCGTTCAATGGCTCTCGTAATTTAATTTATACGCGAGGGTGGGGAGGGAGCGAGGGAGAAAATCCCGGGCCATGGGTTTCAAGTCTAACAGAAGTCAAGGTGCGCTGGCTGTCTGCCCTCTCAACGTGGCCTCAATTTGCGCTCGCCTAGCCAGTGACAGAAGAGTAAGAACAGAGTATGTAGAAAACATACATGTAGGGAAAAGGAAAAAAGTAAAGAGGAGGAATGATGAGGGAAAACAGGAAAAAGGACAAAGGAACAAAAAAGATGATAGAGGGTGGACCGAAATTCTCCCTTTTCAGCCTGAAGTTGGAAAAGCCTGGATTGAGCCATTGTGATACCTAGCCGGCCAGACAAGCCCGCAATGCGTCCATCACATCACATCCATCAATTGATCCAGTCCACGATGCGACACAGACGAGCAAGGAAGATGATGCATTAACTAGAGTGGATGGACGGGCGTCGCCTGTGAAAACAACGTGAGGGAGCTACGTCAGGACCGAGGTGAGTTGGATATCCAACGCAATAGACGAGCGCAGCTTACTTGGAAGATGTGAGCGATAGGAGCATCTTGCAACACGGGCGACGGCCCCTTCGTTCGATTACCCTCCTTTGGTTTTCATCTGATTTCCGCAGCCGCTTGCTCAATGTGGAAAGATGAAAGTGATTGATCTCCCAGAATGAAGTTTGACGACGACGACGACGACGACGACGACGACGATGTCGGCATAGCGGGGGCTTCTTAGGCGTTGGACCGGCCGCGCGGTCACGATAGAGCCGTGCAAGAGGGCTAGAGTGCAAGGCGGTAGTTGCCTCCCGTCTCAATTTCATCCATGTCCTTGCAGCAAGAAAGCCTAAAGGCCTGGGTCACGAAGAATGTGACAATGTCACTACGAGGGCCGCGTGCGCGACGGGCCCTAAAGCTAAAATAGATAAGAGAAACGGGGGAGGGGGACAAAAGTAGGTTAAACGAAGTTTGCGCAAGGCCATATAACATGGGTTGAACTTCCACACTCTCAAAACCTCGTCCAACTTGCCGTTGGAAAGTTCCGAGTGGGGGTGGGAGGTTGAGAGAAAGCAAGACAGGCGTCAACCATGACGAGGCCGAAATCCTGGAAGCACATTGCCCTTTCGTGAACGAGCTCGGAGACGCGGACAGACGGAGAGACGGGAAAGTCCTCGGCCGTATTCGGCCCTGTCGACTGCCCGATTTAAAATTCTGCCCCTTCTATATTGTGCGCATACGCGGTATCGGCATACGCAAGCCTTTTTCTTATTTCTTCTTCCTCCTTTTCCTTTTCCCCTCCCTTTTCGTAGGCGAGCGAGATGGGCCGCATTTTGCGTCTCCTTTGTCCGATGCCGTAAAACGAGGGCGAGACTGATGAGACTGGCGAGCCCTGTTCGCCCGTTCTCTCCCTCCCGTCTGATTTCATGTGCGGCAGCTATTACCTCTGGCATCTCAACGGCGATCCTAATGCCGAGCTAGGTTGCAGAAACCCGCCCACGGGAAGCCTTGAGACAGAAAAGATCCACGCCCCGCAAGGATCCATCCTGTTCTACCAGACCCTCCATGTACTGATCCACAGATGGATGTGTGTGTCACCGCCCTTCGTTCTCGGCCCCAATCGGCATAGCTCCCGGCTTTCTTCTTCTTCTCCAAGTCCCGAAACGGATGGGTTGATTGCTTCGTGCTTCGCTCTCGACATTCAAAGTGGCTGGTTAGGTTAGAAGAGCGGGGATGAGTCAAGTGTTTAGGAGCATTCGCTTTCTTTTCCTCCAGCCTATCTACCTTTTTGCACCTTTTTCTCGTGGCCTTGTTATCTTTCTCCGCTTTTTATTAACCAAACAAAAACCCGTTGTTTATCCTCTCCATTCCCTTCTCGAGGCGAAAGAGAAAGCACAAAACTCTTCATGGAGATGGAGACTCAGAGAGGTTTCTATTTTCATCTTTGCCCCAGCGTCCAACTCGCTGGGGCTCTTGGCACCGACCCGACCTGTCAAATCAAGATGGATCCTCTTCCATCCAATGGGTAGCAACGGCTACCATAAAGATCTAAATGTCTCTTAGTCCATTTGAAGCGTATTGAGCCAACATGAATGACACGTCCTTCTCTCCATGCACGCATTATCCCGGGCAGATCTACCGGGTAGCCTCCATCGAAGTAGGGACGCACTCGGGACCAAAGGTACCTACTTCTTTGGGCCACTGTATCAGACTAGACTGGTGGGTTGGAGACGCAAGGGTCCTTCGGGCAGGGGAGCTTGGACTTTTCTCTTTTCCCTGAAGTGCTCTCTCGGCCTCTGCTTGGTGCTTATGACCCCTCGTGATGTCTGCAAGTGCAGACGTAGCAAATGTTCCATCCCTTAATTACTAGTAACATTTCGCCTTGAATAGAGAGTTGGGAATTTTGGCTTTTATATCATTTGTGACTCTATAGATTTGCTTCGTACATGCATGCATCATGGATCGTAGTTTGTCAAAGTACGGGCGCGGTGCGGGAGAGCTCAATGAAATGTTGGAATGAAGCGGAAACAAAATGCAGAGTTGGTAACGAGAATCGCAGAACGAGCCTGATGAGTTCAGAAAAAAATAAAGGATGAGAAAAAAAAGCCCTGTATATAACTGTTTTTAGGGAAGAGGCTGGAGAATAACGGCCCGACAAAATGGAGCTCTTTTCCAGAAGAGAAGAAGTGAAGGGGGATATGGACGATGGAAAGAAAACATTGAACTTGAGTCAGGGGGAGGGCGGAGAAGAAGTGTGGAAAGGAGGTTAAAGCAAAAAAAAAAGACGGAGAGATTTTTCTATGTTGTGTGATTGATATTGATTCTTGTCTCTTCAACCTTGCTGACGAGACTCTATTCCGCATCGCGTTCGCGCACTTGGGCAATCATGTTGCGGAGTGTGTCGCCCAGCTCCTTCACAAGCGTCTTTTCTCTGGGAAGGGTGTGTCCCTTGGCCGTGTCAAAGATGTAGGCGGAGTCTTGGTCACACACGTTGTAGAGCGCCATGGAGCCGTCGAGGTAAGGGTCCAAGGATCCAACTAGCGATTGATGTTAGCGAAAAAAGAAACGACAAGAAAATGAAAGGGAAACCGGGAGAGGCCAAAGAAAGAGAAAAAAAGGTAGAGAAAGAAGAAAAGAGAGAACTCACTGATGTGGGTCGTCGGCACCTCAATCATCATGTCGGTTTCGTCCGCAAGCACCAAGTTCAGCCACTTTGGGTGCAGCGGGGGCCAGCCCATGAAGAAGACGCCGCACTTGAGCATGGCCGGGATACCAAACTCCTTCTTGCGCACCTGCTCGAACAAGAGGAGAGTCGCCGCGAGCGTGGCGCCTTCCGAGTATCCGATCACGCCGTCAAAGGGCCCGCTCTTCTCCATGATCTCGTACAAGTACTGGATGGCCCGGATCGTCGACCCGCGGCAGTCGGCCACGCCTTCCCGCATGAGCTCGCGCATCGTATCCTCGGGCGTCTCACATTCGGGGAAGTCGCGGATACGCGAGAGCACGTCGGCGCCTTCCGCGATGTTGGGGTCATCCGGCTCGATGAAGCGGTGGTACGGCGGTTGCCCGAAAAATTCTTCGAACCCCTCCGGCGGGGTCGCTTCGCAGTTGCCGTTGATGAAATGGAAGGTGGCGGACTCGTCCGAGGTGAGTTCCGTCACGATTGGCGCTGTGCCGCGTGTAAGTAAAGGAATATGACCATAAAAAGAAAGAAAGGGAAGGTGCGAGTGAAGCCTCGCGTAAAGCGAAAGAAGGCTCGCTGAGCTACGTACCAAGCTGAACCTGGAATTTCTGCGCCGTTTGTTAGTATCGCGCGCGACTTACAGCGGCCTCACTACAAGACGCCAACAAAGGAGGGGATAGCAATTCTTCTGTACTTACATCCGAGCTCCCATAGGACCCGGGGAGACACAAGAACCTCATCTTTCAAGCTTTTGAATCCTGTAAGATGCCGAAGATGCGTGGTTTACGTTGAGACACTTGAGAGATATGCTGGAAATGGTGCAGCAACGAAGTTCCCGGGCTACCTGAGGCGCTCGTGTGCGGAGCCGAGTTCAAAGTTGGGAAAGCAAAGAAGAGGAAAAGTTGAATGGGAAAGAGAGAAAAGAAAGTAAACCCCTTGGCAAAAATGATAAATAAAGGGAAGCAACTAGCTACTATTTGGAGAGCCTTGTGCGGGGAGGACCAGATTAGACACAGGAGCGGGAGCAGACAACCCAAGGAAGAGGGGAGGGCTATAGTGGGGCTAGCCACCGACGGTTGGAGAAGGCTAAGTGAGCCAAGGGAATGCGGGCCAAGAAAAACACGTAGGGAGCCCAGCCGGGATCAAGAGTGCGGAGACCGAGGGGATCTGGATCTTAAACGGGGAGTTGGAGACGTTGCTCAGATCTACGAGCACGTTGAGCTGATCGTCCAGGCAGGCCGTGTTGTCGGTATCAGGTCAGTTTATACAGACTCCTACAAGGGGAAATCGAGAGCTAGGATCAAGAATCAGTGAGATGGAAAGTGTTCGACAAGTAATCAAAGTAAGGTTCCGAACAAGATTCGAATTCGATTTGAAGATTGTACGTAAGGTGAAAGGGGATGGGGTTGTGACTTTAACAAGGGAATCTAGCTTGAGCCTGGGCTACGAGTATGGAATGGCAAAATACGATGCCCGTGTTTACGCAGTCATGTAATTTTGTCAAGATGAGTTATAACTTCACGATGGTAACTGTCGCTGAGATGGAAGGAGGGAGAGAAAAACCAATCGATAGATTACACATTACTCCCTCCGTCAAGTGCCTCGTGGAAACACATGCGCGTTGTCATATTGGACATCGACGAATTTAATCGGTAGTGCCCCTGCGCTTTGTTTCCGTGTAAGTGGCTGGCCGCCAATTGGCTTCTCGGACGGATCTATCTAGCCTCAATTGACTGTTGGTCTGGGCTGAGAACCACGTACAGCACATACGTAAATCTATGGATGTATCTTCAGGACCATCTAATATTCGTTTTCTGGGAGGACGACAGCTGCCACTTGGCTTGACCGGACACAAAAAGAAAATGCCTTTACCTCATCTGAAGGATAAGCAACACCTCACCTAATCCCATGCTGTCAGAAACCAGGCATGTCTGGGTTCGATCCAATTGATAGAAGCCACCTCCCCCTCCTTAATTAGTAGAGGCTCCCCAGGGCCATCTGACTCTCCACGGCGCCACGGACTTTGCCCGTCGACTTCGTTAGCAGGCCTCGTGAACAGGCTTTCCATCCCTCATTCTCGTGTCTTAGGTGCCGTACGACTCTGCCGAGACTCGATCACCCGTTTAGGATACATGGGATTGCCGCTCAAAGCTCAATAACGCCCGTGGCTTTAACTTTCTCTCAGCCAACCCCCTCCCTCCTTCCCTCCCCACCGGCGTCGTGGCCCTTTTTATTCTTTTTTCCCTCCATTGTTTAATTTCTATTTTCCCCTGTCAAACGGGATACAGGTACGGCGTGTCGCAGGGCGTGTCTCGTGGACCAAGGTCCTTATCTGGAAACAGGGCATTACACTATAGTCTCGGAGGGCAAAGCGATATAGATTGCGCCCACCGTACCGAAGTAGGTACCAGACATTGAGGCGGAATTCGATTTGTGGGGTACCGCTTTAATTAAAACCATATTTCTCCGGCTTTTCTCTTCCTTTTCTTCGTTTTCCTTTTTTTTCCTTTTTTTTCTTGTTTCCTTCATCTTTGTTTTATGTTCTCGGTCTATGCCTAGACCAAATCTCCCCATTACTGTCTTGTTTCCTCTATGACCAGCAGGGAGACGAACCCCCTCAACATGCCAGCGGAAACGGCAGCAAAAAGGTCAAATCTCACAACGCCGCGCTCCCAGTCGTACGACTAACGCCGCTGCCTTCCCAAACGGAATATTATGTACTGTTGTGTTCAATAGACCCGGATCAATTGGCGGGCAGCAAGCGAGACACCTCATCGCACCCGGTTCCGAACCTGAAAGCACCTGCCTGGGGGTATGGGGTGTGGCGGTGGTGTGTGAGCGTCTGTTGCGTACACGACAGCGCCAAATGTACCTACCTATTAAACTATATGACCCTTTTTTCTCTCTCTTTTTATCCTTATTATTCTTTTCCTTTGCTCGCTCTGCTTCGTTGACACTTGCTATCAGCCTGGAAGCTCAAAACCGTAAAGAGAGCTCGGGAGGCAGGCAAATAAAGAAGGATCGGCCCCTGTCCCATGGTAGAGAACGGGAGTTTGGGGTAAGGAGAAGATCTTCATCGCTTCGCCAGCCCATTCTAGGTCATCTGAGACCGCCCTGTGGCAAAAGAGGCATCGATAACCTCTGGTTCAATTGGATTTTGCGCAGTGGTGTCCTGTATCAGGCAGAGTGGCTTCCCTCCCCGTAAGCACTGCTCGCGATTGATCCAATCTAAACTTCGGTATTAAGCCAAGGTCGAGCAAGATTTCAAGCATCGGGTCGCGGGGGCGGCGCCGATCCCATACATCGGCCCTCCCAATTCTTGGTGCTGCGGGATACTTTTTTGCCTCCAAAATCGCAGACCCGGGTTTTTCCATAGCTTCCTCTCACCAAGATCTCGTAGATGTGCATACTCGCATTGGTTTTGATTCTTGGTCCTCTCTCTCGTCATTTATTCTGAACACGAGAGGCTCGACAAAATGCGGGGGAAGGAGCGGGGATGGGGGAGGAAGATGGAGAGGAGATGAGAGGGCGCGCGGGGTGCGTGTGACGAGGAGCTCTGCTGCCCATAGATCGAGGTAGTTCAATCAATCCGCAATGAGACTGTGGTTCGTGATGGTGGGGTAGGCAACTGAACACGAGCTCTCGTGATGTCACGGAGAGGCCAACTAGAATGCCAAGTGAAGAGCGTTATACTCGCCCTAACTCGGCTCACCGACTATGATTGCAGATAAGCTGGTGCGCATCTGCAGGGTCCTAGAGCGATGATATAAGCCAAGATTTGTGAGATTTATGCACCAAACCTTAGTCTACTGAGATCATCACGTTCTTGCCTGTCGCTGTATCTGATTTCAACCCTCAATTGCCTTGTCTCCCTCTCCAAATCTACAAGACAATCTTCCTCCTTGAATAAAAAAAAAGATTGATTCTAGATAAGGGCTCTGTTCGGCTTCGTTGAACGTTCACCAAATCGACGCAAGCCCCCACTTCGGAGCCTGGCTCCCGAAGCTTGTCGGCGTCTGTTCTCCACTCAACCCGGACTCGGCCTCCGAGTGGACCAATAGCATTGTGGGAAGGTGGGGGACGGAGGTGTGGTCTGAACATTGTGGGTAACGAGGGGCTGACAAAGGGGGACGACGAGGAGAGCGAAAAGGGAAAAGAAAGCGCAAGGCGGACAGAGTCACCCTTTCCCCATGCGTTCCTCCTTTTGTGCGTGTGCACGCGCCCACCACCGACATCCCGGGTCCGGGCGCGCGGGCTCCGCTGTCAACGTCACCATACGCGAGTTGGGCCCCGTACACTATGTTTAATCTGAATATAGGTGCGGAGGGATAATTTAGAGTGGTCTGATGATGAGACGAAAAAAAAAAAAAAAAAAGAAGAAAAAAAAGGAGAATGGCGACGGAAGAAGAACCCTTGATGCGGTGGGTGTGTCCGGGTCGGCTCATCGTGCCGCCAAGGAATCTCCTTCCCCAAGGCGCAAGTAAGACAACAGAATATGGTGAAGAAAAGAAAAAAAGAAAGAAAAAGTGGATAAAAGGGCCGGCGTGGGCCGCTGTGCACGCGTGCACTTTGCAAATAAGAAACGGGTAAAGACGCTGAGAGACAAAGCGGGAGAAAGGGAGGATAAAAAGAAATGGTAAAATCCAGAAAGAAAGAGAGGAGAAGAAGAAAAAAGATCCAGCCAATCAATTCAAGAATGCTGCAAAGTAGGACAGCTCGCTTTGTCGAGTGACGCGTAATAAACCGGCAGCCGAGACAAGACTCCGCTCCGCGAGCCATCTGCAGCTGGCCCCTGTAATATATCGTGGATTGCGCGGTGGCGGCGGTAGCTTTTGCTTTCTTTGCCTTTGGGGCCCGATGGCTTTCATGACCGCCCGAGTATGGGCGTCGTAGGGTCTACTGTTCTTTTCTCCATCACCTTTTTCATCCTCCCACTTCTTCCCCTACCTCTATTACGTGCCTTTCGATACATTGATTTGGCCTCACGCTCCATGCACCCTCCCGGCGCGTGGGCCGCTAGGCATTTCAACCGTATAACCCGCCCATTAGAAGAAGGGGTAGATCGGCTTCACTTTAGAAAAGCGCCCCGTCTTCTCTTCAAGCTCTTCTTACCTATCACCACCGCTCTCGCTGGCTCTAATATTCATATAATACTTCTAGAACCAAGGAAAGTTTGCAGGTGGGGGAGGATGCAAGGGGGTCAGCCGCAAATAAGAGCCGAAGCAAAAGCCGCCAGCGCCCCGAGTCCGTCCTCCCCGACCAATGTGGCGGGGATGAGGTGAGGCAGTTTGGTTCGCAGCCGAAGGCGACGAGACATGCTCGAGGGGTAGCCTGGGCTGATCGCCGTGCAGCGAAACAAAGGAACACAAACTGATGACCCGTGGCACTAGACTAGAGATTCCTTCCCAGAGTATCTTTGATCAATCATCCCGCTCTTCAACTTCTTAATGGAGGCAGCTGGTTGATCCATATGATTATGCATATAGCTAACATGCCATGGCATAGCATGGTCTAGTATAGTGTAGACACGGCGATCGCTGGGCAATCGATTGATTAGTAAACAGAATAATACGGCGAGTCAAGAGTCCCAAACCCCAAGGGCGAAATGAGAAAGAAAAAGAAAAAGAACCCTCGCAAATGAAGGTCATACAGATGAGTATAGTGCAGTCCAATGAAGGCACGCCGTCGATAGGTCCCCTTCAAAAGGTCAGCATGAAATAGACAGTTTCCATCCTCCGGC